AAAGGGAAGTCCATGGTGGCTGTGGAGATTTTCTCCATTTTGGCCTCTGGAGCTGCTCTCTTGGCTTGTATCTTTTTCCCCAAATGCTACATTATTCTGCTAAGGCCTGATCTGAATTGTAGAGAAAATATAGTAAGAAACAAAAATGTCTAACTAATGCAAGGAGTTGCCTCATTTACATTTAGTTTGTGGCATTTTTAGAATGTGATAAGATTTCTAATAAATGATGACGTGAAGGAGGAATTTGTCCATAAAGAATTCCTTATCAAGTTCTGCAAATGCTTACAACATTCCTGTGATCAGTCTTTTGTTTTTCCTGTTTTCAAAGTGTCCTTAGTGAGATCCAATGCCCTGTATGGAAGGAAAACTGTGTTTATTATTTCAGATATTTCTAAGTTTACATGGCAAAGGAAAAAACCAAGAATTAGATACAAACTAGTGCGATATGCTAAGGGAAAAGGTGGGTTGGGTTTACCAGACCTGAAATTCTATTTTGAGGCATGTTGTCTTGCCTAGTTAAAAGAGTGGATGAACCTCCAGAATAAGAGGCTACCAGAGTTAGAGGGCCACGAATTAATGATTGTATGATACAGTTATTTATGCTATGATTAAAGTTAACGTTGATTTTAATAATCACTTTGCTAGACGTGCCATACTAAGAAATTAGAATAAATAGAAAAGAATGTTCTATATGAAGTTGCCTCTTTGGATGTCCCGAACCTTCTAGAACTTTTTTTAAAGAAAAGAAATGGTGATGAAGCCAGACTGATGGATGTATAGTAACATATTATCTTCAAACTCTGGTGCACCTACATTAAAGTTGAAGGAAGAACTTGAATTAGAAGGTTAGGTTTACTTTTAGTTCATATACCAACAACTGAAGGAATGGTTTAAATCAGATAAAAAAGAGTTGTGGTTTTGGTTTTGCTAAAAATTAATTGGAAATTTTACTGCGTGGTAGTGATTTTATTGTTAAGATTTATAAAATGTTGTTGAAATTGAATTTGGAACGTGAAATGTAAAACTTTGTTATGATTCAGTGGGCAAGGTATTTTGGATATAATGTGATCCTTGAACAATGGGAAAATATGAAAGGTTTAAAATTTACACCAAACTGTAATCAATCCTCCAAGCAGCAGGCAGAGATAGAGGCAGGGGGGTGAGGCACCTGATCAGGCCTGCTGAATGTACCAGGTAGCCGCCCACTCACCCACCCACTCTGTCCCACCATTTGCTTTTGCTTGCCTGTGGCCATCCCAGCTGGGATGGGGCAGGAAGCTGCGTGGCCCCCTTGCAGGCCAAATCTCATGCCATCCTCCTTGCATCTGCTTCCACCTGCTGCTGTTGCTGCCACCACAGGGCTCATCCAGCACTGCCCAAACCTCTTCCTCCAGCTCCACCAGACACATGGGATGAGCCTCCCACCCAACGCCCCATCCACAATGGTCCCAGTTTACAGGAAGGACAGGGAGACCTATTCCCAGGAGGCAGCTGGGACTTCCCTCCCTATTCTCCCTCACCTGAGCCCAGCCCAGAGCTGACCCACATGCCCTACACCAGCATACATTGGGACCCTGAAGCCAGGCCACACCTGCCTCACCCCCTGCCTCCCGTTCAAGCAGTGGCACCAGCAGTAGCAGCCCCCTCCAGCAGGAGCCCCTCTGTCCCTCAACCCTCCCCCCACTCCAGGAAGCCCAGACTGGGCAAGGAGAGAGACCACAGCAGCAGCAGCCCGAAGCAGGATGCAAGTGGGCTCAGGCATCCCCTCAGGGAAATGGGGATGGGCTGTGGAGTCTGTGGACCCCGCGCATGGCCTGAGAACATCTGTGAAGCTCCTCCGGTGGATAAGCCTGGTCACACACCCCAACATGATGGACATCAAACTGTCCATGGCCACCCTGGCTAGACCCACCCAGACACCCACAAACACACAGCCATGACCCCGCCCCCAATTCACCTGAGGGCAACAACAGTCCTAATCAGGCCCTCAATGAAATGGAGTCTGACAGCCCTGCTCTAGCTCCTGTTAAGTCTGATTCATCCCTCAGGTTCCTTCAGCAGAGCTCTGGATGTCTCTTGATTCTTTTCAGCTCCCTCAATTGAATCCTGGGGCATGTTGAAAACCATGGACCAAAAGAGGTTGCATGCAAGTGATCCCATCCAAGGCCTCAGTAGCTTTCCTTTCCAGGAAGTGGCTGAGGCCTCAGAAGGACCATGCAGCAGAGCCTGGGGTATTATCTCCACTTCCCCTTTGAACCTCATTCGTCACTAAGAGTGGACTAGGTTAGGAATGATAGCCACCTAACAGTGGGGTTGGAAATATATAAACCAAGATAGTAATTTGGTATTGTCTCTTTAAGAGAATGATGTAACTGTGATAGGCTGCAATTTCTCCAACGGCCATAAGATGGAGCCAGAAACCTGATTCTTACTTCCATCTTCTCTTTGTATTTGGCTAGTGCGGGGTTTTGCCTAATCATAGTTCTGTCTGGATTACTGTGAGTTTTTGCAACTGTTAGCAAACTACATTTATCGAACTGTATTTATGATACTGGACTTCGAATATTGGATTATTCCTGGACTTGTTGTATTGAATACTGCTTGCTTTAACCATGTATGACTTGGACTGTTTGTTGGACTTTGTTTAACTGTTTACTGGCAGTAAAACCTACATTTTAGTATTCAGTGTATCTGTATGCTGGTTTGTGTGTTATTCAACACCACTCTCGCTACATTTCCCTGAGTGCATTCATTCTCTCAACGGGGAATACCCCAACATTGGCTATGGGCCCAGGCGCATACAAGACTCAGCTAAATGAGATTTAGTGTGAATGCACAATACCGTATACAGATAGCTGTTTACTATTTAATTGTGATTTACTGTCCTGGTAAAGATGGCTCACGACCCGTCAACAAGTCTATCACTGATAACCTGGTTGGATGGAATGAACTATGTTTCCTGGTCTATGGTGGTTTGACATTGAAATGAGACACAGGGAACTGTCTCTGAGAAAAATGCCAACCCTGAGAGAACTCAGGTAGCAGTATTTATTGAGAAAAAACACAAGCAAAATATACAGTATGCATATTCAGAAAACAATGACCTCAACAGGAGATTACTTCACCAGCATGAGAACACACAATCTTGGAAAGTCCCAGATGTTACCTTGCTAGGATGAGATCATACAGCCACAGAAAGTCTCATGGGAAAGTTTGGAAAGTCCCATGAGAAAGCACAACTGTGTACCTTGTACCTTGAACTTTCACCCATTTTCCTATTCCTTCTAAACTGGCAGAATCAAAACAGAATGAGGCACTCTGAGCAAAGATACTCCTACCCCCACCAAGAATGCCCACATCTCCTAGACTTACTGCTAGTTATACAAAGGCCTTACAGAAAATGATAAAATGATTAATAAAATATATTACCACATGGTCTATGAAGTGCAGTCTAATTCTGCGTAGGGAAGGATTATGGGCTGCAGTTCAGAATCCACCAGATGTAAATTCTTTGGATCCATGTAATGAGGACGATGCTAAAAAATTAGCTGACTTTAAACGAAACAACAAACGAGCTCTTTGTATAATTGGAAGAACACTGAGTGACCAGCAGCTAGTTCATATTCATGGAGAACAGTCTGCTGCTAGGTGTTGGGAGAATTTGAAGAGGATTTATGTTCGTGACAGTGTAGGTGCAGACATACATTTTGCACGTAAACTGTTTAGAGCACGTCTTCTGAAAGGTGGAGATATGTTAGCTCATTTGAACTTTATGAAAAAAAAAATTCAAGAGCTACATGAAAAGGAACTTATTTTTTCGGAGCTGCATCAAGTTTACATCATTCTTTCCTCATTGGATGAAAGTTATGATGATTATGTATCTTCACTTGAAATCCTGACCAGAAATGAACTGACATTGACTGACATAACCGGAAGATTGTTAGAAGAGGCAAGAAGAAGGCTGGATAGAGACCAACTGAGAGAGAAACAACCACAAGAAGAGGATTTGTTTTCAACTGTCTATATTGTTAGGAAATGTTTTTCTTGTGGGGCTAAGGGACATATAGCTAGATTCTGTAAGAAAGGAAAATGACAGGATACTAGTAACCACCAGAAAGCTAGGAAAAATGTTAATTTAGCTATGACTAGCAATTCAACTGTAAATCATGATTTGTGGGTAGTTGATAGTGGAGCATCACAGTGCATTACTAGAAATAGAGAGAGTTTTGTTGTGATGTCCACGAGCAAGCAATGTGTATCATTGGCAAATGGATGGAAGATGAAAGCATCTAGTAAAGGTACTGTATATTGTTCATGTGTAAATGAGCATTTATCTATGTTACATGTACCTGAACTAATATTTAATTTCTTATCAGTAAGAGCTTTAGTTAAAATTGCTTATGTAGTAACCTTTGGGGAGATAACTGTATAATAGAGAAAGAAGGTAAAAGGGTTACTGCTACTTTAGAAAATGATTTATATATTATACATGATGACCAGTTGCAAGCGGCTAACTCAGTTTATAACAATGTTAAGCCACATGACGAATGTATACATTTGCTACATAGACGTCTAGGGCACATTAATTTCAAAATGCTGAAACAAACTGTTGAATTGTCAGAGGGAATAAGGTTGAAACACTGTAGCAAGTACTTAAATTGTAATGCCTGTGGTCAGGAGAAAAGCAAGGTTACTCCAGCAAACAGATTGAACCGTTTTAAGACTAAAGAACCTTTAGAGGTTGTTTTTGCTGACATAATTGGTCCTAAGCAACCCAGTTTGGGA